TATTTGAGTGTTAGTAAACATGTTCTCATTTATTAATACACTATTAGATAAGATCATCGCTTATATGATTTCACTTTATGTTTTTTGTTGCCTAAAAAATATTATAAATGGAGTGGAAATCTATATATAAAACTGAGAATATATTCAATATATCAAAAAGGATTTTATTTTACAAATCTTCGTATCTTTAAAATTTAAATTTGAAAAAATATTTGAAGTGTAGATATAAATAACACTATAGTTTTGAATAATAGTGACGAGAGAGAGAGAGAGAGAGAGAGAGAAATTGTGAGATAAAGTAAATATCGAAAATACGAATATAATATATATAGTTTTCGCATCATTTTTCTTAAGTTTAATTTATTTGTTGTGAGAGTTATTTATATATGTTTGTAAAAAACTCGTTATTTTTATTCCTGTATTTTTCATTATTTTTATGTATTATTTCTATTTTCTCTTTTTTTTGGTAAAGGTTTTTGCTTTCAGTGAACAGAAAACGTCGAAAACAATCGAAACAAAATTAATGAATCGCTAAAATGTGATGAATATTCTCACATACTTTCACTTATAGTCTGTCAGAAAAACAATATATTGATTCTTATAGCTATACTATGTCCTCTCTCTCTCTCTCTCTCTCTCTCTCTCTCTCTCTCTAGTGTTTATATATCTATATCTAAAACATATATTTGATGTATATTTAGGAGATCTGGAAAGACTTCGCAGATTCTGGTTTCAGGGCGCCTGTAAATCACAGAAAAATAAACGTAATATCAGTAAACCATTGGATGTCAACCAATTTATGAGCGCTTTCCTACTCCTCGGCTGTGGTATACTATTAACGGTAGTGTTGTTAGCGTTAGAGCACTTGTACTTCAGGTACTGCCGCCAGCATTTGGCCAGAACTGACAGGGATGGCTGCTTCACGCTTGTCAGCTTGGTAATTATATTTAGCACGTTTGCTGCAAATTATATTAACTATACATTACTTTTTCTCCAACTTACACTTTGTGCCTAAATATCAATGCATTTAAATCGATAACTGTATGGCAATGTGTGTCCAGAGTATGGCCCGTTCACTCAAGTTTCACGACAATGACGGTCGATACGGTCGGTACCGCCACTGCTCTGACCCAATCTGTGACACCAAACGCCGACAAACGTTACAAGAATTGGATTTAACAAAATCCAAGTTAAGACAACTTCAAAGTGTGCAAACTTTTACGACCGAAATGGAGGCCAAACATAATAAGCCACAGTATTTACACAGCAATTGTGTGCCAAACGAGTCGTACTCTAAGGCCAGAGATATGACCAGAAATATGTTGACGACTAACGACCCGATGATTATCGCGCCGCACAACAAGAAGCTCTCAAAATCGGCCGCTATTTCAGAGTTTGAGACCGTATTGTGATTGTCATGAATTGTTCAACAAATTCATGACATTATATACAGTATATTATATTTACATATATTTTACTTGTAATTTAATTAATAGGAAACAATACAAAACTTATGTCAAAGTCATATATACTGTATATAACTTATATAAATATATTGTAAAATAGTTATACTCAAGATTATATTCATTATAAATCATTTACATGCTTTATTCATCATTTAAATGTTTTGAATAGAAATTTATACATTTAATGCTTAAACGATTTAGTTTTTAATCAATTTGAACAGAAGTTTGCCAAAATTATACGACGATTTACATGTTTATTGCGCTAACATTACAAATACAATGAATTTTAAATATATAAAAAAATTAAACATTTTTGAGAAAAAAGAAAATCAAATTTTTGCCAAATTATTGCTCATTTAGTCATTAAACACAGGCTTTTGAAAGCCAATCAACGAAATAAATGATAAAAATCATACGATTATGTGCTTTATATACAGTTATTGTCTTGAATTTACATTTATATGATTTTAAGTCAATTCTGCATTTATTCTTAAGTACTCTTAACGGCGACAAGATTTCAATGAAACTATTATTTAAATTTTAAAACATTAGACAAATTCTTTAGACATTAAATTAGTTTTTTTATTAAGTTTATTATTTATTCAATGTTTATAAAAGATTTCAATGTTATTAAAACTACAATTCCAGACGAAGTGATTATTTTTGCCAAAATGTTTTCAAATGATTTAAATTCATATAAATATCATATAATTCTACCATAATATCAAATTATATACGCGTTTTTGCATAAACATGATAATAATGTTAATAAGATAACTTTTTTAAATTGTTGACTAAAACTTATTTGACTTCCATTTGAAATCGAGGGTTAAATTTGTGACAAATATTGTTATAATTATAAATACTAACTGTATCTACGAATTAGGGCTTAGTTTTGAATGTCTGTTGAATTTTATGCTAAAATTTAATAAATAAAATTTAATATTATGTAAATTTAACTAATATTATATGATTGTATAAATCAATTATTGTACAAATTAATAAATTACTATGAATTTAAGATATAATAATTTTGTAATTTATTATATTTTTTATCAATATGTTTTTAAACGAGAGTTTATTCAAGCATTTAATATTTAGATTTAAAATTTACTTAATTAAGTACTAAATTAAAATCAAAAAGCATTGTTATAATCATTATTAGATATCGGATGAATTGGATATAAGTACTTGTATTGTTATAAAAATTGAAAATTTAGAGACTAGTGTTTTAAATCATTATTTTTAATGACTACTAAACTTAAGTTTTTATTATTAAAATTTGTTATTTTTTAGTCTGGATTTAATGATAGTTATAATTGTGTAGAGAATTGTAGGCTCTTTGGGGGTAAGAGAGATATGTTAATCACTTATATGTTGTTCACAAACATATCATCTGAACGTAAGTATAGAAACTTGTGTTCAACAGAATATTCTGGTTATTAAAACTCAAGTGAATCGATAGCTATAATAATGTGATCCTATGTTAAGCTTGTGTTTGCCATTTGGGGGCAAAAAGCAGTCAACACTTGACGTGATTTGTGTATTGAATCCATATTTTTGTAAATAAAAACAAAACACAAATTCACTTGAAATGCATTTAAAAAGCATTTTATTTTCATATGATTTAATCGTTTCATTATAATTGTGTTCAAATGTAAACATATATTAAACACACATTTAGTCAATAGTTTGTTAAATAATTAAATAAATTGTGAAAATTAGTAATTATTTTATGATTTAGTGTTTTTTAAATGCAAAACAATTCTCACAAATAATAATAATAATTAATTTAATGAATTGTATATTGAAATGAATGCCCGAAACAATACATTTGAATTTGTAAGCAATTTATACATTGATTTAACGCTATTTTTGCCATAATTTGTCTCACTTTTGATTGAATGCATTGATTGTATGGACAGAACTGTTTGGGACCGGAAGTCAATGAAATAGTTTCGGCGATATTTCACTCAATTGTCTTCTATAGGTGTTATGGAAAGGTAGGCATCCTTTGCATCCAATTGTCCACATAATGATCACCCGATGGCATCAATTGTGCTCTTCGTCTCATTAATCTGTGGCCCAATGTATTGAGTGTTCAGAGTTAGGCTTCAGTGCCCTTCAAATGCTGTTATATTTTAAGATATTTTATTTGCTTTTTTGTTATATTTTTTACTGATTTTTTTTGGTAGTAATGAGGAAGTGATGGGAAATTGGATTTGAAATGTGATTATTATATTTATTTATAAATCAATGTTTACAATGAGAAGTAGTTTATTATTTGTTTTGAGGCGAAGATGTTGTTTATAGCCAAAGATCAGTCAAACATATGATAAGTGAGAATAAAGAGATACAAAACTAGGTTTTGATGCTTTCGGTTGATTACCATTCATTGAATTCACGCATTGATTGCATGTTTTGATTACAGTTTCATTACAAACACGAGGACTCGTATTCAATCGGAACTCTTGGTTACGAAGAGATTGCCTGTGATTTCATAGACTTTACTTATGTTTGTATTTGTGTTGTATTTGAACTATCAATTGATGCCATCATTTCCTTATTATATGTTTAGGTGAGGATATCATCGCCACAACTGATCCAAACTATAAACAGAGAGATAAAAGCATTTGTCGATAAATTAAGACAAGAGAACAGTAGTCACACTAACGGTGCGATCAGTTTAGAGTTTTATCAGCGAAGGAAAGGTCGCTGGGCTTTCACTGACGCCTCACCACTCGTTTGGGAGATCTGGACCGTCAAAGTGAACTGTGATAAGGGTATAGATTCTCTCTCTCTCTCTCTCTCTCTCTCATCAATTTATATGTTGTTATATAACACTTGTTTTGATTACGATATGATAGAAACCAACGAAAGTCAACAAAAGGGTCGAACAGAAGAGTTATTACTGGAGAAGTTGGTGACAATTGTGCAGATAATAAACAATAGTAAACGCTATTTACCACAAATGCCCGATAAACAGAACTCGGACACCATTTTTGAGACCAATTATCCCGACGTTCAGCCCTATATATTCAAGGTTTGGCCATACAGTATATTTCACTCATTGACTCCCATTTACTCAAACATCATTTGTTACCGAATAGATATCGCATTCTGTGGGTTCGGCGGCCAACCCGCCAATGATGGCCACTCAGGGCACGGGTGACAGCAGCTTAAAGAAGTTCATAAAACAAACACTAGCTCTCGATTGACCACACAATCACACAAACAAAAATTGTCATTTGTTTTGACAGAATATATATTATTGTATCGGAAATTTCAATTAAAAGTCAATTTATTAGAAACATCTTAGTTTTTATTATAAATATTAACGTCTTTATGGGTTTTTTTTTCTACAAATTATTACTTTTGTACATCTCTTTCGTGTCATTTAATTTAAATTTTAAGTCAATTTTACAAAAATGTCGCGAAAATGTCGTTTACTTTCCGAGAATCGTGTCTTTGATGGCGTCGACGAACTGCGAGGGAACCCAATAGAGCCATATTCTGGAGGCTTCGGTGGGACCCGTTTGGATGCCCATCAGGTGGTACTCCGGGTGATCGTCGATGGGTTCGCTAACAATGGACCGGATGTTCTGCATCGGCAACTTATCGGTCCTCTCTTTGGTGCCGATCCACAGCTGATCCGCTTCTAACTTGAATGTGAGCCTCACTTTGTTGTTGTATTTGTTGACCATTCCGTGCAGCGGTTCCGGCGGTAGACTCGCCTTTCCGTTCTTCCACGCGGGCATCACGTCCTCCGGCAGCCCTCTGTCGAGCACTTTCTTGTGTTGCTTTCCATTCAATAATACGTTTAATTCATTGCAATTATTTAGACAAAAAAACAATTAAAACCTTTTGTTTGCAGAGCGGTTCCCGAGTACTGACGGCCGTCGGCTCATCCTTTTTGGCCTCACTTGTGGTGGCGTTAATGGCGATGACATCGTCGAGACGACAGCCAACGAGAAGCACTTTCACACCGTCTTTGATACCATTTTCGCTAAGAGTTTTGGTGTCATTGATTGCGATTCCTATCAAACAAATCAATCGATTCAATGGTAATTAAAATTCAAAATTCAATGTTAAAAATAAGAAACCTTTGAGGACAAGCTTCTGCATCGCTGGCGCCACTGATGTTAGCGTTTGGATCTTCTGTTTCAGCTCAAGACCCGTCTTCTTGAGTCCTATTTCTATTTCGTAAATCGTTTTATTGAAGACTACTTTAAATTTAACGGTCTCTTCGGGGACCGATTCCTCTTCGGTGGCGACAGCAGCGGTCGCCGTCGAAGACGAGGCACCAGTGCTATCGTCGGCCACTTCTGTGTCAAGTGTGGGACCAGTTGTGGCCAAACACTCGACGGATTCGGCGCTTTTCATGTGAACGTCTTGTGTGTCGACACGGGGTTTGTCATCGGTTTGGCGTTCAGTGCTGTTAACAGTAAGGCTGTCATCGATTGTCTGTATTTGAGCGCAATTTGAATCACTATTAGACTGAATGACAGTTATCTTGTTGTCGACGCTCTGGTCATCGGTGGTGACGGCGGAGGCGGCGGTCGTCGTAGTAGTGGTGGCGGACGTCGGCTGTCGAGTGGCGGCCGTCGACTCCGAGCGACCATTGGTTTCGGATTTTGAATCCG